AGTTTTTTTTATTTTTTTATTTTTTTTAATTTTTTAATTTTTAATTTTTAATTTTTAATTTTTATTTATCAAATGTCATCCTATAGTTAATAATTAGTTTGTTAGTTAACAAATAGTTACCTTTTAAGGTAGTACGGTAAATATAGTCATAATAACTTTTTATTGTAAAATATAAATAAAATTAAGTTTAGAGAACCCAAATTTTGTTATCGTTAAAGGGGTTTTCATATATCTAATCAATTAAGTTTACAATAACTTTTTATTGTAATATATATATATATATATATATATATATATATATATATATATATATATATATATATATATATATATATATATATATATATATATATATATATATATATGGCCTTAAATGCTGAAAAAAAAATAATAACTTCAACTAAATACATTTATTTTGCATTCCATTATACTTTGCCTAAATCAGTTTACCATTAATATTTTACAAGTAAATTCACATCTTTTCATTAAACAAAATTGTGAACATTTTATTAAAGAAATTCAAAAGGCAAAATCTGTACTTCCACTCACCACAAACAAAAAGAAGCCAGAACAGCTGGTTCATAATGTATATTATATATAAAGGTAAAATTAAAAACCCAAATTACTAATGATTTTAATTAACGTAGTGTTAAAGCATACAATAAAACTTTTATGTGTACTTACTTTTATTCATGAATAATCAAAAGTAGTAGCCACCTTTTACTATTTATATAAAATACATATTTTTATTATATGATCAAATTTAAATTTCAATATAACTTTATTAGAATTCAACTTACTTATATATCAGTCCAACCTCATTTCACTTGATAAGCAATCTTTCATTTCCTCTTCATTATAGCATAGCCATGGAGAATGCTTCTTCCCCTTCACCACCACAAAAGCCTACCACCCTTTTAACTTTCCCTAAAGCCTTAGCAACCTCTTCTTCAAAGATCAAACATGTCATAGTGGATTTTTCAATCAAAGCTAAGAACATAGGGGTCGATGACCCTAGAAGAATTGCGCACTCATTGAAGGTAGCATTAGCGATTACTCTTGTCTCAATGGTTTACTATCTCCAACCACTCTACAATGGAATGGGCGATGCTGGAATGTGGGCTATCTTAACTGTCGTTGTTGTTTTTGAATACACCGTAGGTGAGTAATTTTTATTAATATTGTAATTTGATTTGTTTTTGAACAAGCAAACTATTTTATTAAAGAACTAGTAACCAAAAATACAAAAAGTTACATATATGGATTCACTAACCAACTACACATTCTTATCCGCTTTCGGTCTTTTACACGCATACACAATCCAAAAAATAAGAACTATATATCAACATTGTAATTTAGTTAACGTGGCAAGTATTTACCCATATATTAATTGTAAATGTTCCTATTTTTAAAATATTGGTTCATTTTACTAGGTGCGACTTTATGTAAAGGAATGAATAGAGGTCTCGCGACGCTACTAGCTGGTGCATTAGGCATCGGTGCTGAATCCTTTGCTAGCCTATTCGGGACAACCGCTAAACCCATTGTTCTTGGTTGTCTTGTCTTCATATTAGGTAATTAATATGCTTGTTTTACAATGTTTGTTTGTATACATGCATGCATTAGATAAATATACAACTTATATATAAGTTTATTATATTTAATGTGAAATTTGATTTTGAAACATATGATACAGTTGGTGCTGCCACTTTTTCAAGATTCATTCCCAACATTAAAAGAAGATACGATTATGGGGTTCTGATATTTATCCTGACTTTTAGCCTCGTATCTGTATCGGGTTATCGAGTTGAAAGAATCATTGAGCTTGCTCATAAGCGATTATCAACTATTCTTTTCGGTGGTGCAACTTGTATTATCATCTCCATGTGTGTTTGCCCAGTATGGGCTGGTGAAGATCTTCATCAACTAATTGGTGAAAATTTGGAAAAGCTTGCGAATTTCCTAGAAGGTTCGGGAATTTAGTTTATAAATGGTTGATTTTTTTAAGTTTCTTTTTATTTGTTATAAATACAATTCAATAGAACGCTATTAATTTAAAAGTTGTTTTATAGGATTTGGAGGTGAATACTTCAGAATAACAGAAGGTGACAAACCATCGCTTGCATCTTATAAAAGCGTCCTTAATTCTAAAGCCACTGAGGAATCCCTGGTTAGAACACACTATATACTATATGCAATCTTTTTAGTTTTCTATTTAGAGGGGTAATCATAAAAATAGCTATATGATATGATGATATGGCACTAAGGAATCTCTAGTCTTTTTTATAGATTAGAACAAAATAAACATAAATAAAAATTAACAAAATAAAATTTATCATCATTTTGGTGTAAAAGAATAATATAACACTAAAGTTAATATTATAATATTCATTTACCAAAAACTTTGTTCAAAAAATAAAACGTTTGAAGACGAATTTACACAGAAAAAATTCAGTGAAAAATGAGATTTGGGACTCGGATATATGGAACAAAAGACGCAACTAGCTCCAAAAAAAATTATATCCTTTTAGATAAAGTAATCAAATTGTGCAATTTATTTAAAAAAAAATGTTTTTTTTATTGTTTTTGAACAACATATGGTCATTAAATTCTGTGATTAGCTCTCTTTTAAAATATGCTATATATGTGTATCTAGTAGATGAATAATTAATCAAAGTATATTTGTATACCAATATTAATCAAAGCATATTTGTATACCATAGGCAAATTTCGCATGGTGGGAAGTAGGACATGGAAATTTTCGATTTCGTCATCCATGGAAACAATACCTGATGATCGGAGCATTGACACGACAATGTGCATACCATATTGAAGCTCTTAACGGATACCTCGATAGAAAAACCGAAGTATGAGATCCTGTATTTCATATATATGCATATTACTTAAACTAATAAAAAGATTTCATTATGTCTTGCTTAGTTGCTTATTAATGTTGTTAATGATGTTATAGGCTCCCTCAGAATTTCAGAAAACAATTAAAGAACCATGTATGAAGATGAGCTCTGAAGTAGGAAAAGCCATGAAAGAATTAGGGTTGTCGATAAAACTAATGATGCATCCTTCTGGTTCTGCATCTGCCATTCATATGGAAAGTTGCAAAAAGGCGAAAGAAGAACTCAATACGATGTTACAAACTGTAATGGTGGGAGAACATGATATCATTGACACCATACCCGTTATCGCCGTCACTTCAATACTAGTTGACGTCATAAACCGCGTTGAAACAATCTCAGAGGCCATTGAAGAACTTGCTAAACAAGCTCACTTCAAAAAATCCAAGAACACTAAATTAGACAAAAAAGAAAAACCGAACTTTCTTAATGATGGTGGACCTCTAGAACCTGCTAATGGTGGAAAGAATAGAGAATCTGTCGCTATAACTGTTGCTAGTCTTAACAGAGGATGAAAACTCACAAGAACAGAAGATGGATAGAAGTAAAAGAGTAATTAGTGAACATATATATATATATATATATATATATATATATATATATATATATATATATATATATATATATATATATATATATATATATATATATATAATATAATATAATATAATATAATGATTCCCGACTAATTTATATCATATTGGGATGATCTAGTGATCGGACTAATTACTAACATGAATTTTGTTAAAAATTTAATAAAAAGATGTGTTAAATGGTAAATTGTTTCTATTTATATTATATAACCGTTATGTTATTGCTATATAAATACAATCTATTGTTTCTACTTCTAGCGTCTTGTAAGTACATGTTTTTTTTAATATATTATGCGGTTTAAAAAAAACAATCTATAAAATCTTGAAAAAGAAATATTTTGAGGTTTGCTTATAACTCTATTAAAATAATCACTAGAGGACCATACCATGGAACTTGACAATTTGGTCCAAAAATATTTTTAGTATTTAACGATTGATACTTCATATATGTTCTGTAACGGGTAATGTGGGCTATCTAGATGATGCCATTTACAAGTTTTTAGTTTTGCATTAAATATAACTAGGAAAAGGCCCGTGCAACGCACATGTCATTTTATTGATAAAAAGTAAACAATGTTCTTGCAAAATTATATTTAGACGAAGCAATTGTATTGAATTAAACACAAATGAAAGTTGTTGACATAGGAGTAGATGTTAAGATGTTTACACATATATTTCTACTTAGGGTAATATAGATAAACAACCGTTTCTATAACAAAAACTGGATGATGAACGGTTTGTTTAACTTGGTTTTTGGTTATATGTTTCCACCCTACAGAATCTGGACCATGTGTTGGAGCATAGTTATAGTTGTCTCCGTAAGTGTGATAGAGTGATTTAAGCTTTCCCTCATTAGCTGGTCGGAAGAACTGCAGGAGAGCAGAGTTCTTAGGGTGAAGGATTTGAAGGTTGAGTCTGGATCGTTGTTCAGGTTGTTGATTGTTTGCAGTCTGGTGTGAAGGTCGTTTGTCAAGTTGGTGTGGGTTATTTTCAGGTCGTCAAGTCTTACCTGCTCTTGGTGTAGAATTCTTGTGACAATGGATTGCATCATTCTTTTGGCCTCTGATCAAGGTTGTGGTTCTTGTGTCCATTTTGTGTTTTCTTTTGATTTGTTATATAGTCTTTGATTTTGTATGATATGATTTCAGATGTTGCTTGTTATATAGTCAGATGTAGCTGGTTGGTGTTATTTATAACGCTTACATTTTGTACGTGTGTATTGTCTGACTACTGCATGGATAAGGACAACGTTTGTAATGATGAGTTTCTAATGTTGGAATTTAGTTTTGAGGGAGAATATACTTTAGTGTTTTGTATATACATATGTGGGTCCGTAGATGATAAAAGTAAGAAAGAATAGTATGAAATGTATTAACTTGAGTTAGATTATAACGTATGGTTAAAAGATAGTAACTCTAATATTCCATTTATTTATATATTACTATGGAATTTTATTGGGTAAAAACGTAATTACAAGGTAAATACAAGGTACGTTTTACTTATCCGACTCTTTCATTGTACGTTTATACTTTCCAATCCTTTTATGGATTGATCCAAGCATGAAGGAGATATTGTCCTCCATGGACTGGTCCTCGATTGTGGAATCTTCAAGGATATTTTTAAGGATTTTCGAATTGGGGTGGTCTGGCTGTGTGGAGATGGTGGTACGAGGGCTATCTTCCATGGTGAATCCCTCTTGTAATTTGGTCCGAGCTGCCTCTATAATGTCTGCTATCTCTCGGAGGTAAGCGATAAGTGCGAGGAGGACGCCGTTAAGTTCTTCGTTCTTCATTTGTTCTGTTTTTAGGTTGGAATTAGTAATTTGCTTAGTGTATGTGTTTCGTAGGCTGTGTTTGTTATTATATAGTAAGGTGAAATGACAGGTGTTTTTTTTGTTATTAATGTGCACATATGTGTGTTTGTTTGCGTGCCATTCTTATTATAGTAGCTTACATTAGTCATGCCATGTAAGTCTATATAGGTTATGGGATAGGTTATGAGGTACCTTGTTTTTAAATTTTTTTGTAAAACTGTATATGGTAGGCTATGATGGTCTATATATATGGCAAATGAGTTAAGATTAACTTGAGGAATAAAAAGGGAAAATATTTGTGTAGATGAGGATATTATTATCAATATTTTTATATTATTAATTTTGTAGATGAGATACGTGTAAGTTATGGTACAAGTAATGTCTCTTTTACGTGCATTAAAATATTCGAGATGAATGTTTGTTTATCTTTCTTGTAATAATTGTTTATCATGGATCTGTGTATTTTTAATTTGTTGTTATTTGGGTATGTTATATTTTATTAGTTTGGTTATTCTAAGTGGCCTTCGGTTGTAATATTTAATCTTATTTTCTCATACTGTTGCGTTGTTGTGAACCATGAAAAACAGGTACATAATATAATTTTTTCAGAAGTGAACGTCTAAGTGGAGCAAATTTGGTTGTTGGATTTCATTGTTCATGGTTCTATACTTCTATGTTGGGTACATGAAAATACATATAGTTAAAGATACATATATTTAAGAGTTTGTGTTTGTTGTACATTGATGTGGGTTACACAAGATGTGAAGGTTTGCATAGTAATTTTGTTGTCTATATTACTTATGTACATACAACTACTTATGTAAGTAAATTGTTAAGGAAAAAAAGTAGTGACGATTGATGTGAGTGCTGGAATACTCTTATTAGTGAGGATGGCGTGGATGTTTTGTTGATGGTGGTGTTTCCTTCTTGTCTGTTATTCAATAAAGACGTATTAGGTATCTTATTTCGAGGGTGTTTTAATTGTGTTTTGTGTGTTACCTAGATGTTCATATGTCAAATTTCTTCTTACTTTTGACTGGGGTGGGTTAGATGACGATGTAGGGTGATTGTCGGTTGTTTTGGAGGTGAGTCCTATTGCTGGAGGTGGTGTTGTTGGTACTGTTGACTGTTGGATGTTATTTCCTTCAACTTCAGTAACTATGAAGCGAATGCTGTTTGCAGTAGACGTTTTCATCATTTGGATGGCCATTTTTTAGTGATGCCTTTCTTTTCATTGATGATGAATGGTATTTTTTTCTGTTATCTAGTTCATTTTGGTTTATCAGCTTGTTTGATGTTGTGGTTGTTAGTTTTTGCACAATGTTATCTGATAGATTTACATTCATTGAATGAGTTGGGTACGTAATGACTACAGAAATTTTGTACCTGTATATATTGGTTATGTATTTTTAGTTTATGTAAAGTTTATGTGTGTCATCTAGCTTAAAGTAGAGTTACATACACGTAAGTTGGGTCATTGGCTACTCCGTGTGATGGGCAGAACCAGTTATTCCCCTGTTTCAGTGTTGGTCTTCTGCATAGGGGACATAGTACGTTGTACCAGGTGTCTGTGAATTTGAAGTCAACGATTGATGCTGTTACTGAAAATGTCCTTTCCTGGAAGAGGATGTAAATGTTATGACTTACGATATGGATGTGCTGGGGTATTGTAAGTACATTTGGGTAATAGTAGATTACTAATATACCAGAAGATCAGAGTGACTTTTGTTCTTCATGTCAAATAGTGATATTGGTGGTGCGGATATTGCATTTAAGGAAGTAGGATTTGTTGTGAAACTGTCATTTTTTTAGATGGTTAGTGTAGATTTATATACGAAGGGTCTGTATGACGTGTACTTTTATTACCTATTGAGTGATGTGGTTGTTTCTGCGATTGGTGGGTTGATGTAAACATAACTTGCACTTGTTGTTCCTAGCATTAGTGAACCTGTAAAATCAATTTGTATTAGTGTTTTACTTAATTTGTTCTATATAATTAGATGTTTTGGTTTGGGTATCAGATAGGACGTCATTCTGCGTGTACCAGAAACTGGTGTGATTTTAACATTTGTTACAACTATTACTGTAGGCCCAATTGCAGTTTCAATGGCTACACGGTCAAACTTCTCTGACACATCTGTGCACTCTCTCCAAAGACTTATAGCAATTTCTTGATCACTGATATGGACGTGTATGATAGATGTTAGAAATGTTAAAAATGTATTTGGAAACATAAATTACTTAAGAATCATTTCTCAGGATTAGTAATAGTAAAGGCTCTTTATTTTTCTTAAGGAAATCTCTGAACTTGACAAATATTCCTACAAAGTTTGCACAAGTAATAGTAAGTTACATAGGTAAGATTATTGGGTTTCATGTACCTGTACGACATGAGGTGTTGGGGTATCATGTAATTAGTATTGGTGTGAAGTCATACATAGGGATTGGTCAACAAAGTCTGGTATCTGTTGTTTAGATATGAAATGAAACCAATTTTGCGAAATTGTGTTGGTGTCTGAGAGGGAGGTGATAGAAGAAGCTGTCCCAACAACAATATATATTTGATTGTCTATCCAGTTTTGAAATGAATCTGGCTCTACACATCCATATTTGGAAAGTGTGGAACACTTTGAAACTTTAAGGATGGATTCTACGTATCCCTGATCTTTTCTTTGTCGTAATATTTGGATTGCATCACCCTGGGGAGTTAAATGAGAGTGTAAGTGAGATAATCTGGTATGCATAAATCTGTAAAAGTGATCACCCACTTACATATTTGTCAACCGCTAGATACCAAGTTTCATACGTACGCTGTTGTGGTATCCATGTGCGCAGGATACGTACTTGAAGTTTCATTCCCGGAGATCCATACTGCAACTCCGAAATGGTTATGAATATTTCAGACATGTTTTGCTGTTACAGTTAAATAAAGAATAAACATGATAATTCATTTTTGTAACAGTGTAAGTCATTTTCATATTTGAAATAAGTGTAATGATAGGTAATAACAGATAAATATGATAAGATTGTCTAAATTTAGAGAAGTAAATAGTGAGTTAGACCTCATTAGTATCTATTCTGCGTAAAAATTCTTTAAAAACAATATTCTTTGTCTTGTTTTGTAATGTGTTGGTATCAGATTGTATTAGAATTCTTATTGAATCTGGTGACGTTGCAAGGGATAATGCAACGTATAGTTGATCGTGAGCAAACACAGGTTCGGGTAAGTAAATGCCAATTTTGTTCAGAGATTGACCCTGACTTTTGTTAATTGTCATGGCATAGAAAACCTTAATTGGATACTATTTTCTAATGAAAGTGAAAGGTAAATCAAGGCTCTTGTAGATAAAGTTAATGCGTGGCAGATATACTCGTTTTCCAATGGATGTTCCAGTTATTATAGTTACTTCTATTAGTAGTGGTAATAAGTGTGACACCATTAAGCGTGTTCCATTGCATAAACCTTCTCGTTGGTTTAGGTTCCTGACTAACATAATGGGCATGTTAACTTTGAGTAAGAGTTCGTGTAGAGGCACGCTAGAGAAATTGAGTTGATTGAGATATTCTGATGGGTAAAAACTTTCAAATTGTAATGATTGATTCCCATTTGAGTCAATCGAGTTAACACTTTTATAAGTTGTTGCATTTCTAGGAGCAATGTTAAGGATGAAGTCATTTATATGATGTGTTGTCTTGTTTTTTGGGCATACAATTTCCCTTGCTGACAAAGCAATTAGGGATGGTTATGTATGGATGTCATTTCCATATACAAAACATACAAGACTTTGTAACACTGCTTCTCCTGAAGGAATGGTGAGTGAGGACGGTATGTCAATCCATTTTGTGTCTGTTGTGTCAGTTACATCTGGATGTCCTAAATCTCCATCTCCAACTTTCAATAACCATGATGCAAATGTTAACACATAAAAGTATGAATTGAAGCTAGTGTTATCACCGACTAACCTCATGTTATGGTTCAGTTTGTAGACTGTGAAATATTGCCACATATATGAGTTTGGTAAGGTTAAAGCAACAATCTATTCCCTTCTGCTTTTTAGAGAGATGGGTAAAGTCTGAATGAAATCACCACCTAATAAGATTGACATCCCACCGAAGAACTTACTGTCACATTCAATTATATCTCTTAATGAACGGTCTAAACATTCAAAGAAACGTTTGTCACTCATTGATGCTTCATCTCATATGACAATTGATGTTTGTTTTAATAGGGTAGCCAATAAACTTTTCTTTTTAATGTCACATGTTGACCTTTCTGAAAAGTTAATCGGTATGTTAAATCTGGAATGAGCAGTCCTTCCTGAAGGTAAAAGTAATGATACTATACCTGAAGCAAAAACTACTAGTGCAATTTTGCCAACTGAACGAAAATACGATAGTATGGTAATCCAAAGGAACGTTTTTCCAGTTCCACCATGACCATAAACAAAGAGTAAAACTTTTTTTGTAGTATTGTTTGCTGATACAACAAAGTTGTAAATCTGAAGTTGATCAGAGTTTAATTGAGATACCATTACTTGATGCTCGTTGTATAACTCTTCACTATTATAACTCGTTTCCTCTAAAATCAACCAATTTTCAAAAAGCATTTGAACCTCTTCTGATGGCGGTGGCAAATGAAAATCAATTATTGAATTTGATGGAGTACATGAGCGTAGAAGTTTTTCTAACTCCAATAAAGTCAATTGTTGTAGATGATTGTCAGTTATGTGTAAATCTGTGTTACAATTGTTCTTCTTCATATTATACAATATATCATCAATCATCTTACACCATTCAGCCTCCCATAATGACATAGGGTTACTCACTTCACAAAAATTGAGTAAATGGAAGAATAGAGAGTGTAATTGCACAAAAGTGTCCCATTCTGATACATGTGTAAAAGTGGCTAGCCACTCTTTGTCTTGCCAATTAGAACTAATGCCTCACATGCGCTTCGAAAATTTGGGTGGAGTCGATTAGAAACATTCCGTACATCTTCATATGAATTACAACCCTTCTGATGACAAAGTAGCATTCGGAGGTAAAACAAATCTCCCGCAGATGGATGTACAAACACGAGCCGACCTATTGCATGTGATGTTTCCAGACGTCTTCGTTTCCACCTCTTCATACTCTTGTCCCACACATATTTTGAAGGGTAGGTTACATAAGTCAGATCTAGTCCTTTTTTGTCCCATTTGTTACTTTCAAACCATCCCAAAAGCAGACTGTTACCAAAAGATGGTTTTTCTACAATATCGTGGATCTGACTATCTTCTCTAAAATAAACTGTCTGCATGTTTGCCAAATGAACTGGTAGTATAATGACTGGTGGATTACGTTCATGAATTGGAAAATTCAGAATACGCCAGGCAGCCTCATGTGGACAAATATATCGACCATCAAGGAAACTTTGGATTTCATCAACTATAGTAGGTTCTGAAGAAGTGCTAGTGTTATCAGTAAAAACATCCTTCTGAATAATGAACTTTGCCCGCTCCATACCTTTTCAAACATATTTGAATAAGTATTTTATCATCATGTTCCAACCGCAATACTTAACATTTATGTGTGCGTTGAAACGACTGCAGAAGTGCTTGTTATATGGGATAACGTATCCATTGTCTATTTCAATACCACTCTGTAGCGTATGACGTGCCAAACTATTTCTTCTATAATGCGCATAACCTTGTTTGTCAAAGATAGTGGATTCTGAAAATGGTTTTGGATAGTGTTTGCTACACTTTACATCTTTCATGCAGGGAGACTTCAGATTTAGTAAACCACATGGTCCGTGAATCATAGAACTGGTGATAGTCTGGTATAGTAAGGGCTCAAAAATTGGATCTGGGATTTCAGCAGTGATGAACCTGTCAATATCACGAGGTTCCCGTACTTTGTGTGAATCAGACACCCACAAAATAGTGTGATAGTGTGGTAACCCCCTCTTTTGAAATTCGATTGTATACAAATCGGGAGAAAAATACAACATATTAGGAGTTGTGTAAGAAGGGTATATAGGGAAGTTAGAAGGAAAGGAAGATAACTAATAATAGATAAGGAAGTAAGAAAGTTACAAGGAAAAGAGAATTAATAATAAATAAGAAAGAAAAAGCATGTGACTTACGGGCCATGACATCTCTAAAGGTGTTATCCTCCTTTAAGATCTTAATAAATGCTTTCACTTTTATGTAGAAGACACGACAAATGATATCAGCTCTACTATGGATATCTGTTTGGTTATGAGCAATCATATAGCGTCTGATCTTGGGCTAATTCACGTTACGTGTAATGGTGATAAAGTGTTATGGATTTCCATACTCCCTACAAATCGACAATGCGTCTTGGTAGTGACTATACATGTAACGCGGGCCACAACGAATGATGGAGGCAAAAGAACACGTTTCCCAATATGATGACCCTCACTATCTCCCCTAGAAAGCGCATCATAAATCCCGGTGATGTACTCTGATCTCATTTGTTCTTGGTTTTTTTGAAAATAGTCAAACCGTCCTAGTTCAATGCAGGTTTATGCATCTACTAAGTACTGCTGGAATAATCTACACACGTTAAGTAGGAGGGAGTAAACACCGTAACGGGCGTGAATATGGTAACTATAGTACATGTTTACCGTTAGGTTCTTTGCATTGACACCCGTTTCATTCGACTGTTTCAAATGTGGTGACCACCCATTCTCTCCATACGGGAAAAGCAAAGGATACTGTAACACCATATAACTCGGATGAAGCTTGCTAATTCGCTGCGGTTTCCCAGACCTTGAATGTACAATAATGATATACTTGTTTGTAACGCAGTCATCTCCTAAAACAATACATCCAAGGCTACCAGCTGTAGGCGGACTATGGCGCCTATCAGGAACATCATTAAAAAGGAAAACCGTGTAAGATACCAACTCTTTTTCAGCAACAAGGTCACGAGCAGTTTTGAAAGTACGAACGTACTCATTATGAGCAGTTAACATGTTCATCAAAATTGCAACAACTTTATCGTCTAGCAGGGATTTTGATGGGTTATCAAAGGCAGACAGCCTGTTAGAACGTACTCATTATGAGCATATAAAGTTTTTCCCTTTTGGATATATGCAACATTTTTCATTGCAAACATTCTACTCTTCCTTTATTTTTACTTGTTTTTCTAACTAATAGCCAATTTTATTATAAATAGCAACTAGGCTTCTCAAAACAAAATACATCATAAAAAGTTCATCGAGTTAACTATGGACCTTTTAGCCAATCTAACCAACACATCTTAAATTTTGAACAAACAACTAGAAATCTTTGAAAATGAAATCGTGAAGAACTGACTGAAACAAGGAAAGCTTCAGCATCTTCCCATCCCTGCACAGGATGTTATTTTGAAAATATAGTAAGAATTGCCAAATGAACCATTTTTTTCTTAGCCGGTTGTAAATAAATAACATCCAACCTTTGAAAGAAAATTCATAAGGCCCATAGTCCGAGAGATGGAAACACCTCACTAAACACAACTCTTTTACCATTGAGCTTGAACATAGCTTCTATTTGTTGCTAGCAAGATCCCGCTGAAACATTTTTATAATTCTGCAATTTTGGTTTAAGTCGGTTTCACTTTGTGTTAATATCATTAAGTATAACAAAGTTTTACAATTGTTCCCCGTATATATATATATATATATATATATATATATATATATATATATATATATATATATATATATATATATATAACATTTTTTTGAAACGGCAGGTTTAAGGCTAGAGGGTGCGTAGCGGGGAAGGTGGTGCGGGACTCGGCACCGCAGCCGGAACACAACCCTGGCGCAACGACGAAGGTGGTGCGGGATCGGAGTGATAGGAGGCTACCCCACCCGTTCTCTCTTCATTTCATTGCACTACTAGAAAACTAAGTAATTACATATAACAGAATTGATAGTAAATACGTAGGAACAAGACTTTACCTACATATTTCCTACAAAAAGTGGGTTGTAGGAAAAACCCTCGTGGTTAATTTTTTCCTACAAATTAGCTACAAACGTTCCTATGCATTTCCTACGAAATATTCTGTTACAAATTTAACTACGGAATACCTACGGAACACGTTAACTACGAAGTACTTACAGATTACCTACGGGTTATTTAGCTACGAAACTCCTACAAAATACATACGGATTATTTTCCTACGGAATACCTACAAAATGATTTTCCTATAGAATACCTACCAACTACTTTATCTATAGATTACCTATCAACACCTTTTCCTACGGAATAACTACCAACTGATTTTCCTACAGAATACATTCCAACTACTTTACCTACATATTACCTACCAACATCTTTTCCTACGGAATACCTACAGATTTTATTGGATTTTATTTCCTATAGAATACTTACTAAATATTTATTTCCTACAAATTTTCTATGAATTTTTTACCAGTTTTTATTGCTATATTAAATTTATAATTCTTATAGAATATTTATTTCCTACAATTCAGTAAAAAATCTATTGCTATGTTAAATTTATAATTTAAAAAATATCCAAATTTTTTGCTAAAAAAACCAAATAAATAATTAAAATAATAGTCAAATACCATTACATTTATTACCATTAAAATAGTCACTAACATACCATTCATACATTCAAATACTTAAAATACCATTACAATACAATTACAAAAACTAAGAACTAGTCAATAACATAATATTAATTTAGTGTTCTAAAACAAAAACTAAGAACTATTTGGTGGATTACCGGACGAATTAATTTGTTTCATAAAGACCACCAATTGTCGTTGCACTTGCAATTCCATTTCATTTCGCATTTGTTGCAAATTCATTTCACTTTGCTTTTCTTCCATTTCTTGTTCCATGTTTGATATTTGTTGTCGCAACTCATTTCCCTAAATATAGCAAGACAAACACATGCAATTAGTAAATATAATTCAACTTTAAACCATGATAGCAATGTACTTTACTTTTAATTCAATATAAAAACACACTATTGATAATAAAAATATACATTGTTTTTAATATACTTAATAATAACTTTTAATATACATAATAATAACATACTATATTTTTATCCATTATACCATTGTACTTTACATTTCGAATCCATAATATACATGCACTTGAATTATTATCAATAACAACAATTTACTTTACCAAATATCAATAATAGCAACATACTATAATTTTCACCCATTATAACATTATGTTTTACCTAATTTAATAATAGAAACATAGTATAATTTTCAACCATAATAACAACACACTTTACCTAATATTAATAATGACAACATATTTCAATTTTCACCCGTAACAACAATGTACCTTACCGATATGAACATATTTTTTTCAGCCATATTAAGTACCTCTTTAGTTTATTTTTTTTCTCTATAATATATTATGTAAATAATAGTACCTCCTGTTGTGACTTTTCAAAGTCAGCAGAAGCTGAAGTTGACTCATAAGAATATGTACCCGTCATCAGAAAGTGAAGATCCGAGTATCCTGCCCCATAGATAGGACCTTTTTGTTTCCCACCTTTCCTAAGCAATTGTGTTTGGGTCCACAATTCAGGATCATTCACATTATGTTGAGTTGAATCATCGCCATATTTTTTAGATAGGGCTTTGTTATATGATTCCTACAATATACCAAAAGAAAGTTTTTGATATTGTACTAAAAAGTAAAGAGTATTAATAGTAAATATATAAAAAGATAAAGACAACTTACGATCGTCACCCTAGATGTCTCACTCACAAAATCCACTGGCGCCTCTTTATCTCCCCAAAATATATTTTCTTTGATTCGGCGGTAAGTTGTGTCTTATAATAAAGGTCAATGAATGAGGGGTCTTCACACGTCAACTGTTTCTATATAAACGACACAACATAATTGATGTAATTAGTGTTGAAAGAAAAATGTAACACTAAAATCTATAATTATGATTACTTACCAATTTAAGACGGTGCTCCTCAAATCCATGCCACCACTCGTATGTCTGGCTGCCGCCCCCCACCCCGAATCAATGTTACTGTTTTTTTTTCCGCTTTTGGACAACTTTTTCCACTCCTCCGTGTCCCATTTTTGTAAAATATATATATATATATATATATATATATATATATATATATATATATATATATATATAAATTGATAGAATACAAAATAAAAAACAACAAAATAAGCAATAATGTATTAGATTCCTTGCCCTGCACAAATGTCGCCAAACGTCTCTATGTATTTCAGCAAGATTGTAATTTGCAAGAATCTCAAAGTTATCATTAATCTCTGCGATAACGTGGCCAACTTTTCTTGTAGAATTTACCGATGCTTCCCTAGCATCCATCATTCTACCCCTGTAGCGATCTTTCAGTGTATTCTCAAAACCTTCACGAATTATTCCTTCTTCATTTGGATCCCACCTGTATTGAGTCTGTAAAAAAATAAAAAGTAAAAGTTTAAAATGCAAAATAAGAGTGAATGAGAAATAGATATTAAAAATAAATAATTAATATATTACCCTGAAACGCTCAAACATTTGAGTGACAACTTCCTTCGGAATTTTTCTATAAGTAATCCAAGGTTCATTTATAAACTGCCAAAATATCTTTAAGATCGCCCGATGAATACTTTGTCTCCCAAACCTACAATATTGAAATATCCATATAAGGATAATTATAACATCAAAAATCATAAATTTATAATAAATAAAAAAAGACTTACTTATACCCCTTTCGTGTGATAAATGGCCTATGAGAGCCATTCAAATCTGCATCATTTGATCCACCATGCGTACACGAATAATGGGGCGTCTGAACCATTGGTGATTCAGGCTCATGCATAGACTCATGCCCATGCTCAGGCTCATGTTCATGCTCAGGCCTATTATATAAAAAATCACTAGTAGTGTCTTCATTGTTGCCTGCCATCTCATAACCATATGCAATGCCATTCCCACCATTATGTACCACCCCTGTATCTGCTATAGCATCAGTCAAGCCCATGTGGGTATTTATGTCACCCATGCTACTACTCCCTGAGAATAATGACCTTGCCATCCTAACTGAAGTGCATGAAAGGTCACCCAACAAAGGGATGTGTGGAAGGCCATTAGGGTTGGACGATGACCTGGATCTCGATGCTGAACCAACCAAAAAAGGGTTGTGTTGAAGGCCACTAAGGTTAGGATCGGGCAAAGGCGATGACCTGGCTTCTGATACAAAACCACTGCATGGAAGGCCACTAGGATCAGGCAAAGGTGATGACTCGGATCCTGGTACAGAACCACGTGTAAGAGGGATGCGTGGAAGGCCACTAGGATCAGACAAAGGTGATGACCCGACTCTTGGTACAGAACCACCTGTAAGAGGGATGCATGGAAGGCCACTAGGATCGGGAAAAGGTGATGACCTTGCTCCTGGTACAGAACCAATTGTGAGAGGGATGAGTGGATGGCCACTAGGATCAGGTAAAGGTGATGACCTAGCTCTTGGTACAGAACCACCTGTAAGAGGGATGCGTGGAAGGCCACTAGGATCAGGCAAAGGTGATGACCTGGGTCCTGGTACAGAACCACCTATAAGAGGGATGCGTGGAAGGCCACTAGGATCAGGAAAAGGTGATGAACTGGCTACTGGTATAGAACCACCTGTAAGAGGGATGCGTTGAAGGCCACTAGGGTCAGGCAAAGAGGATGGCCTACCACCCGACGGAGGACGAAACGGAAAAAAGGTTATGTGCTAGGCCTTTATCCGACATGCTGCATTTATAGAACAAAAATAGTCAGATATGTTAGATGATAATGAAAAATAACAAATAGAATAGCATATACATACCATATTATAAATTAAAAGTAAAAGAAGATAACAAAAATATTAAAGTGTATATACCATATAACATAAAACAAACTTCTTAACATTCTTCCTCATCTGGATCAGAGTAGTTAAAATAAACTGGTTCGTCTCTATCATCTTCATTTGTATCATCTTCTTGGTTTTCTGCTTCAGAACCCTCACTCTCATCAGAATATATTTGCTCAAAGTTAGTTCTATTTGAGGCTAGGCTCAAATGTTCACTAATATTTACTTCATTCGCTAACTTAAACCGCTCATCAAGATGAAAGAATCCATTTTCTTCAGTGCTTCCATCAAGTGCAACTTCCATTTAAGCTTCGGTGACTTCATATACCCTTCTTGGTTTTGTCTTGACAACCGCCCAAAGATCTTTTGGTTCCTTTGTCTCCGCAGGATATCGTGTATAAAATACTTGTTCCACTTGTGATGCCAAACAAAAAGTGTCATTAGTTTGAATACGAGACTTAGGTTTAACATCAACCAATTTATTCTTGTTAACTACTACATCGCGGATATTATCAAACCACGTGCATTTGAATAGTACAACAGTTGAGCGCCCAATGCCATAATAGTTAATCTCTAGGATCTCATCCAATAATGTAACACCCAGAATCAGAAAGACTAAGAAAGGAAAGAAAAGCCGTAAGTCGAAGGAGTCAACTCATTGAGTCCAAGGAAGAACTCGACGAGTCGGAACGGGCTCCGTGTGGAAGTTTAGGTTACCGAATCGACGAGTCGGCAAGTGGACTCGCCGAGTCTGGTCTGGGTTGGGAAACCCTAATTTCGGGAATTAGCACCCTATTTAAGCATCTCATTATCTTCCTTAGGGTTCATTTGCGGCCCCTATATCCAAAAACTCGAAACCCTAACCACCCAACCTCATTCTTGAGCTAGTTTCCTTCCTTGTGAGTGAATTGAAGCTTGGAGAAGGAAGAAGGACCTTAGTGGTGCAAGAAGGGGATATAGATCTAGAGTTGGAGTAGCATTTCAGACCTTTTGGAGGTAAAAAGCTTATGCCTTGACTATTAATCATCTTGATCCCCTTTCTAGCATAGATTTTGTCACATTTGGACCATTTCCAAGGGCAATCCGAACTTTGAGCCTCGTGAACGAAAAGGACTTGAGATCTGAGCTTGAGGAGCTCTGAGGGGGTAGCTTTACCTAACCATAACATCATTCCATTACATAGACCTTCATATTAGCTTGGATTTGGTGTTCTAGCTTCATAACACCTTGCATGCACATAAAGTTAGCAACTTTACATGCAAGGCTAGGATTTGGAATCCCGATCTATGGGTTGGAGGTGTTAGAATGGACTGTAATCGACAGAATAGAGATGCCACAAGGAGGACTCGGCAAGTTAGTTCATGGACTCGGCGAGTCGGATCGTAAACCCAAACCCTTCTATTTATGAGTCGGATTAGTGAGTGAGGTTAGTGAGGATTCAGTCAGTCTGGACCCATAATGATCATCAAGATCATAACACTCGATGAGTCGGTGGATGGACTCGATGAGTTGGTGCTGAAGGGAGAAAACCCTAATCCGGGGATTGTTCCTTACATAAAGCACATTATAACCCACCTTTAGCCTCTTTGCTACCCATTTGTGATCCAGAAACCCTCATCTCAAGGGGCTTGGGTAGATCTGGAATCTACTTCTATTTGGACAAATTTCAGGGGTAAGGAACCTCCTCCTTAAGCCATCTCATTATTGATTCATGAATGGTGGTTGATTTGGGATTCATTAGCTTGTTTGGGAGCTATCTCGAGTTTGAGGCTTAGATTTGAAGTTGCTACTTCAGATCTAGACTTGTGATGGACCAAAAGGTCATAAAGTTCCTGTCTAAGAGTTATTGGTGAAGCACTTTGTCTTTAACCCTTGCCCTAGAAGTGTTTTGGGCTTATATCTCCTTGCTTTCACGTAAGTTTGCAACTTTATGTGAGGGTTAGGATGTTGAAGAGTGGATCTATGGATTGGAGTCCCTACATGGCTTGAAAAGCCTCTGTATGGAATAAGAGCTGAAGAGACTCGGAGAGTCACATGGGTGTGCTCGATGAGTTGTATGATTATGTGCATGGACTCGGCGAGTTAGAAGAACAGCTCAGCGAGTTTGTTGAAGATTGCCTTGGACTCGGCGAGTCTATGCTTGGACTCGGTGAGTCTGGTCGTGAAGTCCTAACCTTTTCTGGTTGAGATGTGAATCGTTGAGTCGAGGGATGACTCGGTGAGTTGAGCAGGAAGGGACTCAGAGCTTGTTGGACTCGACGAGTCTTGGGGCGACTCGGCGAGTTGAGTCATGGCATGGGATTTTCTGAGCATAGGAACTCGACGAGTCAACGGGTTGACTCGGCGAGTAGGGTCAACCAGGAAGGTTGACTTTGACTTGGACCAAGGGTTCACTAGTTTGATTTCCAAGGGTATTTTGGTAATTATTGGATTTGGTTAATTGGTAATGTTCAGTGGTGAAGTTCGTGCTGGTGGTTAGAGTAGCGTGATCTTATTTCTTCAAGTCGGCAGTTGCTGGTGAGTTATCCTTACTATATCGAGATGGTCTAAGGCACCAAGGCCGGCCCTTTATCGGATGGGAATCCAGGCAGTTGTTTGTTATGTTATTGCTTTGCTATGTATGCATCCGGGTAGTTAGGATGATATATGTTAGAGACCTGGTTAAGGTCGGTATCCTGGTATATAGGATGATGATATGTTAGTGACCGGTTAGGTAGGTATCTTGGATAGGATGTTGATATGTTATGTGATCTGCTAGATCGGTTGATTAGTTGTAAATTGCTATATTATTATATGTTTATGTGCACATGGTTGTTGGACTGGGGTTGGGTTGAGGCAGGTCCTTCTTTGTGCTGTAGGCTAACATACCCAATGCAGACCGGTTAGACCGAAGGCCCGGCGAGTGGTCCGAATGGGTTGAAGGCCCCAAGAGGGTGGACCAGACGTGTCGAGGCTCGGAGAGTGGACCAGACAGACTGAAGGCCCGGTGCGGGCGGACCAGTCATACTGTAGACTCAGAGAGTGGACCAAGTGGACTGAAGGCCTAGTGTGGGCAAACCAGTCATACTGTAGACTCGGAGAGAGAGAGAGTGGACCGGGTGGACTGATGGCCTGGTGCAGGCGGACCAGTCACACTGTAGACTCGATATGCATGACTGTTCTGGTTATGATATGATATGATATGTGTATGGTATTATGGTTGGTATTTTGGGGGTAACTCACTAAGCTTTCGAGCTTACAGTTTCAGTGTATTGTTTCGGGTACTTCAGGAGACCGTGGCAAGGTGAAGGCGTGATCGTACCGCTCCTCAGTTTTATGTTGATGTTCTGGGATACTCTGATAATAAGAGAATTGAAAACCTTTTTTTAATAACTTAATGAATATGGGTTGTTTTTGAAAAGTTTAAATTTGTTGTAAATTTTCACGGTGTTACGTAGGTTGTCTTTGATTATAGGAATTAATCTATCAAATGAAGAGTCTGATACATTGCACTTTGATATCCAGTTTAACAATCTAGTGGTGGTGGAGAGTGTGGAAGCTTTTTTAGACCCGTCCCATAAGGGCTCGCTAACTTGGTTCAACATTTTAAAGAAAGTTTGGGCTAATTGATTTGGGTTTTGTTGTGCTTATTGACAATAAGGAGCATGTTGATAGTAAGGAGCCTCAAGTTGATGCATGCTTTCGATAATCATCTGCTTGTATCTATGATAATCACCCACACCTTCATCATTGTCTTAAGCCACTTCAGGGTTTGAACATTGACCAATTTCTTGTGATGGATATAATTCGCCATGGGCATACCACAACATATAATCTTCCATGAATCCATTCTTGCGTAGATGCAATTCAACTAAATTTCTTGTCTTGTAATAACCATTTTTTGCATTTCTTACACGGACATCTAATTTCAAAAGCCTCCACCCCTTCCACAATACTATTTTGGATGTTTGTTGCGTTCGTGTAAGCAAAGTCCAAGAAATGATTGACATAATGTCGAAATTCGGTATTGAAAGCCCCATTCCTAGTGAGTCTCTTTGTGTACATCAATTCTCTATTTGATGTCATTTCGATCTAGAAAAAACGTTTAACCTATCATTATACTTAATTAAACCCTAAAAAAATGAACATAGCAATGTACTTTACACTAAACAAATAAACATATCATTGTAGTATAACCTAAACAAATAAGCATAGCAATACATGAAACACTAATCACATATGTTGATGCAACAAGTGAAACTATTTAAAACCAACCAATTAACAATTTAAAACTAACAACATAACAATTAAATGGGAAAAATAATCTTTTGTGTAAATACTTAAAATCTTAAAACTAATAAAATAACAATAAATTGAAATAATCATGAAAATATCATATATTAGTATATATAAATAAAAGCACAAAAGAGTTAGCAACATAAACTTTTTGTGATTGATAAAAAATACCATTAAGCCTGTATTTTTAATTATTTGAATCAAAAAAAAAAAAAAATTAATCACCCTATCAATAGTTAACATTAACAATTACAACATGTCCGTTAAAGTTAACCCTGGTTTAATTGATTTGCAAAAAAAAAAAAAAAGACTATACTATTTTGTCAAATAAAACTGTGAAATGTGAATTAGAAAAAAATATACATTAAAATCATGTCATTATCTAAAATGTCAATATGATATAAAAAGTAGAAAACAAAAATATTATTATCTCTAGCTATTTGTAATATAATTTTAAAATCGAAACAAATACTCTTGGGATCTACTGTCAAAAATAGAAATAAGGAAATATGTCTCTGACACCAAAATATTTTTAAAATTGCAACAAATCCAAGTTAAGGCAATCAACTTCAAAAGGTATAATCGTCTAGCAAAGCAATTCATTTGATATTCTTTAAAAGCAAACTTCAACACTTCAAATTGACAATATAAAGTATATACTAATACACATCTATTAGAAAGGGCTAGAGAATCAAGGGCAAAGTCGTCCAAATAGGCAAAATTTCAAAGTTAATTTACAAGGGAGACACATTTTGAAAGCCAAACAACCAAAACTAAGGCAAACATTACCAAATAAAGAAAAAGAAACACATTTTCAATGCTAAACATCAAGGGTAAAATCGCTCAAATAGGGAAAATTTCAACGATTACATTTGGGTAAAATTCCAAATCCAGAAAAAGTAACACCGGACGGGAAAGAATGACATCTAGATAAGCTACGTAGCAAATTGAGAACAGGAAAATTCCATCCCAAATAGGTGAATACTTCCATTACAGATCTTAATGAGGTCTAAATCGTGAACAAGAGAA